TAGGTTTCCGGCATAGGGGGGTCATTAATTGACCATCGCTTATTAGCGCAGTAGTGTCCAGGAAATGGACCGCTTGTGTGGATTGATCTAGGCTGAGGTTGATGGTGGGATGGAAATTATTGAAATCATGGTGGAATGATGATGAAGATGTCATCAATGTAGTGCAAGTAGAGTAGGGGCATTAGGGGACGAGAGCTAAGGAAGCGTTGTCTAAGTCAGCCATAAAAATGTTGGCATACTGTGGGGCCATGCGGGTACCCATAGCAGTGCCGCTGACTTCAAGGTATATATTGTCCCCAAATGTGAAATAGTTGTGGGTGAGGACAAAGTCACAAAGTTCAGCCACCAGGTTAACTGTGACATTATTGGGGATACTGTTCCTGATAGCTTGTAGTCCATCTTTGTGTGGAATATTGGTGTAGAGGGCTTCTACGTCCATAGTGGCCAGGATGGTGTTTTCTGGAAGATCACCGATGGATTGTAGTTTCCTCAGGAAGTCAGTGGTGTCTCGAAGCTAGCTGGGAGTGCTGGTAGCGTAGGGGCTGAGGAGAGAGTCCACATAACCAGACAAGCCTGATGTTAGGGTGCCAATGCCTGAGATGATGGGGCATCCAGGATTTCCAGGTTTATGGATCTTGGGTAGCAAATAGAATACCCCTGGTCGGGGTTCTAGGCATGTGTCTGTACAGATTTGTTCCTGTGCTTTGTCAGGGAGTTTTTTTTAGCAGATGGTGTAGTTTCTTTAGGTAATCCTCAGGTTATGATCTACTGAATCTATTAATCCTATCTGTATGCATGTCTCATTTTTGTATTCGAAGTTATAAATATTGGCTGTGTACTGGCTTGATTTCTAAATAACCTTAGTAGAGCATTTGGTCAGTTCCTAGAGAAAGGGATGTTGAAGTTAAGGACCTAATCAAGAGACACCTAAAGAACAATGAATCTTGGAAAGCTGCAATTCACATAAGAAGTCTACTTGAGGACGTTTAAGGTAGCATATAAACAATGGATGCCTCAGACATTCTCTTGGGGGCCCCTGCGGAGCCTGGGGCAAATTGCCCCACTTGCCCCCTCCCTCTGGGCGGCCCTGCCCAGCGATCCCACAGCGTCCCCAAGTGTCCAACGTGCCCCGAATGTCCCAGAGGGAGGAGAATCCCACCCCCCACCCTGGGCCCCGATCTCCCAGCGATTTGATCCAGACCGGCCCTCACGGAACCGGGCACAGATCCAGCCCCAAGGTCCGTGTCCCCAGGAGAGGGGCCGATCCCCACGCCTGGGCCGGTGCCACCCCCTCAGGGACTGGACTGCCCTGGTCTAACGTCCTGACAGCCCCTGGAAGGAGAAAGCAGAGGGGATGGGTTAGGGGGTGTAACGGCCCCACCCCCCACCCCCACCCCAGAGAGGGGAGGACTCACCTGCGTCTGCTCCGCCACAGCACCAAGGCCACGGCGGCTATGGCCACAACCCCCAGGGTGATGCCCACGACCAGGCCGGGGCCCCAGGGCCTGCTCTGCTCTGTAAAACAGGGGGGAAGGTGGGTGCCATGCTCAGAACGTGGACAGCAGTAAGGACCCTGTTCCCTCTGCCTCCCTCGCAGTTCCCCCGTACCACCCACCCTGAACCCATCACCCTCAGCCCCCCATGCTATTCCATCAGCCTCCCCCACAGTCCCCCCGGTGCCCCCCAACCCACTGCCCTCAGCCTTGCCCTACCCCAAGTCTTCCTTCAGCCTCCCCGTCATCCCACCCCAATCGCTCCCCCTGCTGTCCCACCCCTCAACTTCCCCCCATTCCAGTCCTGCTCCCCTCTGTCTCATCCCCTCCAGACCCCTGCCCATCTCCCTAGCCCCCCGACCCCTCCCCCGCCCCACTCCACACAGCTCTGTCTACTCTGTCCCATTCATGCTCCCCTCAGCCCCCACTCTGCTTCCCCCGTCCCAGTGCTGTCCCATCCCTCTCAGCCCCCACTCTGCTCCCCCCGTCCCAGTCTTGTCCCCCTCAGTTCCTCCACCCTGCTTCCCCCGGTCCATCCCCACACCCGCCGAAACCCTCGACCTCCCTCCGTCCAAATCCCACGTCCTGGACCCACCCCCGTCCCACTCCAGAGATCACGACCGCACCCAGACACCCCAGGGACGTGCACCTACCCCAGGGGATCAGCAGGCTCCGGCCCCCCAGGCTGCTGTGCTGCACCCGGCAGGCGTAGCTGTGCCCGGCGCCCGGCCCCACGGCCAGGGAGCTGCGCACCTGGTAGGTCAGGTCCGCGTTGGGCAGGATCCCGCTGGAGTTCAGCCACCAGCCCGGAGCCACCTCCTCCCCGTCCTGCAGCCAGGCCACGCGGACGGGACGGGGGTAGAAACCGGTGACCCGGCAAACCAGCAGTACCGGCGCGGGGGTCCCGGCTGGGGGAGGCGCTCGGGCAAACACCACGGCGACCGGCCGCTCTGAGACAGGAGGAGAGAGACGGGGCGGGGGAGAGGGGACGATTCAGTCTGAGCCTCAGGGACTCACTAGCCAAGCCCAGCTCCATTCCCCGGGGTCAGGCGTTGGCCCTGCTGTCCTGGCCAGATCCCAATTCTGCCCCCTGCCGTTACCAGTGGTGACGGGATCCCCCTTCACTTCCTGTCCTAAACTGCTGTGGTGTCCAGCCTCACCTTGCCTCTCCAGAGACTCTTTCCCATACTGGACAAATCTCTCGAGCTGACTGACACACGTCATTCTCAGGACAAACTGAAGCTTGATGGCCACAACTTTGTTGCAGTTAAGAATCTCCTGGGCTTTGAGAGTCAGTTTATCCCCCCGGCGAGCGACCCATTTGCCGCTGTCCGTGTCGAAGCTGATGAAGTCCTCGCCGTTCATCCCAGCATCACAGAATCGCCTCGAGGTGCCGTTGGGGAGGAGCTCGCAGCCAATGGAGAACTGGGTAACAAAGGGGTCTGGAACAGGAAGGGCAGGGGGATGAGGATAGGCCGTCCAGAGGTCACCGGGACAGTGTGTGTGTGGGGGGAAATAAAGGCACAGTGTCAGGTGCAATGAGGACGTTTGGCCACAAGCTGGTGGTGGGATCGTGGGGAGACCCTGGCTCGAGGTCAGGGTACGTTGCAGGTTCTGTTTAAAGCCGATTGTTCAGTGTTCTAACGCCCACATGCATAGTCGGATTGGCTCGACAATCGCCGTGAGACATCCAGGCCTGAATGCAAACTTGGGGTCACTTCATCAGGGGGATCCGGAGATAGAGACCCCGTCCCAAATAAATGCGTAATTATTTAGAACGTTATTTGTGATGCTCTAGAGAAAACTGGCCCTGAGGCTCAATACACTTACACCCCTGGGCTCCCCTGAGCTCAGCTCTGCACCGGTAGCAAGGACACGTTTGGCTTCCCAAGGTTACAAAAGTCCCCGGGCCTTGGTTCTGTGTGTGGAGCTGGACACCGGGCGGTGGCACCTCTGCGCACAGACAGTTCACACCTCTGCCAGGGATTCTTTCCTAAGCAGCGACTCAGGGCGTGACACACCGAGTCACACACTCGCTCAGCGGGAGAGGCTGCAACCTCGGAGCCCCGGGAGAACCCATCCAAGCCCTGTCACCGAGCGGTTCCTGCGGCTGTGAGCTGTGATCCCTCGGCCGGCTGTCACTCTGTCGTGAAACGCACCTGCCCAGGCAGATTGCCGTGAAACTAGCTCTGCCCCAGCAAGGTGCAGGAGAGACTTTGTGGTGCAAATTTGGGGGCAGGTGGTTAAGGGGTTCCTGAGAGAAAGTCTCGCCCAGGACCTGCTTTCAGTGCTCCAGCAGGAGCGGCGCCAGGCTTTCGGCGCCCTAGGCGGGGGTCCTTCCGTGCTCCCGATTGTCGGCGGCAATTCTGCCCTGTGCTCCAGCATCAGACACCCAGCGCAGACCCTGGGCTGAGCCGCTGAGCAGAGCCGTGCTGGGTTCTGTCCCATCCCCTGGGGCAGCGCTGGCTGGGAGGGTGGGGGAGGCATTAGCTCAGCTCTGCGTTTCCTGCCCATGTGTCAGTTTTCACGGTTCAGGCAGGACAGGTGGCACCTTGAGCAGCCTCCCCCCTCGTTTCCACTTCCCTCTCCTTCGACAAAGGCCTTGGGTAGGGCACATGGTCGTGAAAGACAATGAGGCTATGGTCGGGGGTGGGACATGGGGCCTTTCCCCTCTAGGGCGCACAGGCTACAATCCGGCCCCAGAGCGGGGGACTGGCTCAATGGGGTGGAGAATGGGATGCGGGGCCTTTCCCCTCTAGGGGACGCTGGCTCCATTCAGCCTAAGGGCCAGGGCCTGGTTGTGTTGCCCCCGATCCACCCTGTCAGGACACACTCAGTTGCTGCTGTGAGCGTGTCAGTTCTCAGCTCCCCGGTGGGTGTGGGAAGGGACCCCCTCAGACTGCGCCATACTCACAGCCCTCTCCTTCATCCTCAACCAGATCGTTCACCATACGGATGAATTTGGACAGATTGTTATAGATGAACTCCTGCAGGTCCTGCCACTGCTTCAGGGTCAGGCCCTGCTGGGCCCAGGGCTGCAGGAAGCGGATCTCACAGGTGCTGCAGTCCATGGAGTGGGTCTCCAGGTCGCCCAGCAGGGCCGTCCACTCCATGTCCGTGGAGCTGGCGTTGTGGAAGGTGATGGTTTGGAGCAGCCGGAGAGTGAGAGACCCTGTGGGGACAGGAAGGGAGGGGAGAGAAAACATATGGAGGATAAAGCAGGTGGGGAGAGAGATAAATGAGTCTCAGTCTCCTTAACACTCCCTGCTGACCCCTAACCCGTCTCCCCCCTCCTTCTACATCCCCAGCAAGGGTCACTAGCCCAGCGTGGTGCTGCCCCATCCTGGCATTACACCCCCCGACCCTCCCAGTAGCAAAGCGGGAGGGGGGGTCCCCTCTTACCAGCCAGAGCCCCCCATGCCCAGGGCAGGAGCAGCAGAGGGAGCAGCATCCCAGCAAGGGAATACGGGCTCAGGAAGACGACAGGACAGCGGGACGAGGGGGGGCCCAGGATGCCAATGTGCTTTCAGTTCCGCCGCAGCCCACATCCCTCTGCCAACTTCTCCTTTTGTCTGTCTCTGCTCAGCTCTGTGCCTGCAGCTGCCAGCCCTGAGCCAATGAGGGCAGAGTGAGTCGGGGAGCGGTGGCAGCGCGGGAGGGGGATCCCCGGCAGCAAGAGCAGAACCAGGGCCTGTCCCGACGCGTAGGGTCAGTGTGTGTGAGATGCCTCCCCTCCATCTCCTCCAGCTTGGGTACCGCTGCTCCTAGCAGAGCCCCTGCACCGCCCTGGGGCAATGGGGAGCCCTGACTGCCCGGGGAGAGCCCCCTGCTGCCCCCACCCCGCCCCCTGCAGCACAGCCCCTAGCGCCGCCCTGGGGCCATGGGGAGCCCTGACTGCCCAGCGAAAGCCTCCTGCTGCCCCCACCCCGCCCCCTGCAGCACAGCCCCTAGCGCCGCCCTGGGGCCATGGGGAGCCCTGACTGCCCAGCGAAAGCCTCCTGCTGCCCCCACCCCGCCCCCTGCAGCACAGCCCCTAGCGCCGCCCTGGGGCCATGGGGAGCCCTGACTGCCCAG